TGTTGACTTTTGCCCAACAATTTATGTTCTTCTATGTGTCTGACAATTTTATTCTTTACTATTGTTTCAGCTAATTTGCCCGGTACTGAAGTTAGACTTAACGGTCTGTAATTGCTAGGATCACCTCTAGAGACATTTTTAAATATTGGCGTTACATTAGCTATCTTCCAGTCATTGGGTACAGAAGCTGATTTAAAGAACAGGTTACAAACCATAGTTAATAGTTCCGCAATTTCACATTTGAGTTCTTTCAGAACTCTTGGGTGAATGCCATCTGGTCCCGGTGACTTGTTACTGTTAAGTTTATCAATTAATTCCAAAACCTCCTCTAATGATACTTCAATCTGTGACAATTCCTCAGATTTGTCACCTACAAAGAACGGCTCAGGTTTGGGAATCTCCCTAACACCCTCAGCCATGAAGACTGAAGCAAAGAATTCATTTAGTTTCTCCGCAATGACTTTACCATCTTTAAGTGCTCCTTTTTATCTCTATACCCTCACTTTATTTCAGATACAGAGTATAGTAAATGTATAGTAAAATGGCTGACAACATAACCTCTCATTTGCTTATGGGGATACTATCCAGAGAAGAGTACAACTGCAAAATTCTTCCAGATCCCTTTAATGTAATTTTTCTTGCTGAGAAAGTACCTTATTAAAACATCTGTAACCCCGATAAAACTCAATGGGGTCTCAATATCATTATCTTACCAGGAGCATTTAGACTTAGTCAAAATTCCACTCTGTGAAAAGCTGCTACAAAAAATGCTTCAAGCACTAAGGATAAATTATTTCCATAAAAGAATCTCTGAGGTCAAGGTCTGCTGTTCTGATTTATACACCTACAGTAACTCCCCAATTAACGTTGTAGTTATGTTCCTGAAAAATGTGACTTTATGTGAAACGATGTTAAACAAATCCAATTTCCCCATACGAATTAATGTAAATGGGGGGGGGGGTTAGGTTCCAGGAAAAAAAATTCGCCAGACAAAAGACATTATATACAAATACAGTATAAGTTTTAAACAATTTTAAACAAACAGTTGAATATTGTACACAGCAATGAATGATTGTAAAGCTTGGTTGAGGTGGTGGAGTAAGAGAGTGGAATATTTCCCACGGAATGCCTTTCTGCTAAATGATGAACTAGCACTCGGCTGAGCCCTCAAGGGTTAATACTGTTGTTAATATAGCCTCACACTCTACAGGGCAGTATGGACTGAAGCAAGAGGGAGGAAACACAATAGATGCAGGGCAGTAGCTACGAACACTTGCCTGCAAAAACTGAACATGATGATGAACCCACGCTATCCAGCTGGGGTGCACCATTCCCTCCTCCTGACAGCTGCACAGATGCTGACTTTCCAAAGTGCTGGGGGGTGCGTACATGAGTGAGAGAGACGTGCATTGCCCATTTAAGTATGCTGACCACACTTCAAGTATGTTGCCCTTTTAAGCAGATCAGACAGGAAGCAACAGCTTCCTGCAAGCTCCCCCCGCCCTTTCTGTCCCCGAGCCCTGTGACTGTCCCCTCCTCCACTTTGTGGAGAGGGGGTATGGAGCAGGGGTGTGTGTGTGTGCAGGAACAGGGGGACATCCTGACATCAGCGCCCTTCTCCCCTCCTCCCCCAGCAAGCAGGAAGGTCCCAGGAGCAGCTCCAAGGCAGAGGGCAGGTCAGGAGCAGCACGGCAGTGTGGGGAGGGTAACCTGAACTGCTGCTGAGCTACATACCTTACAGGGAATTTAGGGGAGCTGATGGGTCGGGGGCTGCCAGTCCCCCCTGGTTCTAATCCCCACGAGGAGGGGCTGCTCTGCCAGAGAATCCTGCAAACAGTGGACAAAGCAGGCAGCTGCCAAACAACCTTATAAGGGAGCATTGTGCAACTTTAAACAAGCATGTTCCCTAATTGATCAGCAATGTAACAACGAAACAACCTTAACCGGGACAACATTAAGTGAGGAATTTCTGCACCTAAAATATTAAAATGTTTTGAATTACAGTCTTTAGGGCTTCATCTGGGCCTCCCATTATGCAGCTACAGTTTAAGGGTAGAAGGGACCACCAGATCATCTAGTCTACCTCCTATACAACACAAGCCACTAAACACAACCCAGGCATTTCCATACCAAGCCCAACTACCAGAATTTGACGAAAACATTATAGCCCTCAGGAGAACAAACTATTGAGTGCAGCAGGCTTAAAAAAGTCAAAACATTGCAAGCACAGAAAGGAAGGCCACTGCTTAAAATCTGGGGTGAAAGCCTTGCTTTACTGAAGTCAATGGGAGTTTTGCCACTGACTTCAGTGGAGCCAGGATTTCACCTCTGCCCCTTAATATTTATTGACAAGTTATGTAATTGGCTTCCTTTTGATAAATGGAAACTCAAATTTGTTTTAAATCAAACTTTAAAAGGTATGTACTGAATATTGTTTTTAATTGCATGAATTGTAAAAGAGCCTCAGCCTTTTTGTCAAGACAACTGTATGAATGTATTGTATTATTATTATTATTATTATAATTTGTGTCCACAGGTGCCAAGCAAAAAAGGCTTCTAGAATTTCCAGCAGCCACAGAGGCTGTTTTTGGCTAGTTCAGACCCTAAATGCCTAAAATACAGTAGGGGTT